GAGCTTGATTTATTCAAGAAATATCAAGGAGGCCAGTGTAGCTGGAGTAGAGTGAGTGAGGAGAGAGGCAGAGTATGAGGTCAGAGACATGGGCAGGGGAAGATCTTGTATGCCTGGCACATTTTTATGGGAACTCATGTTTTTCTTTTTCTTGGGTAAATATCTAGTAGTAAAATTGTTGGATCATTAGGTAGATGAATATTTAAACTGATGAAAACTGCCAAACTATTTTCCAGAGTGTTTGCACTATTTTACATTTCCACTGAGAATGCATAAGAATTCCAGTTGCCAAGATCCCCGCTAACACCTGATAGGGTCAGTTTTTTTAAATTTTAGTCAGCCTAGTATGTGTGTAGTGGTATTTCTTTGTGGCTTTACTTTGCATTTCCCTCATGACTAATGATGTTGAGAACTTTTCACGTGTGTATTGGTCATTTGTATCTCTTGTGAAGTGTCTGTACAAATATTTTGGGCATTTTAAAAATTGGGCTTAAAAAGCTTCCTCTGGCTGCTGTGAGGAGGATGGACCATAGAGGGGTGAAAGTGGACACAGGGAGAGTGAGGAGGGGCTGTAGCTTCCACAGAGGCGCGCATACTGCAGGTTCCACACAGCCTGGTTTCCGGGAAAGTCAGCTTTGGCCCTCTCCAGCTGCTTGACTCTTGGGCTGCTGCCAAGAGAGATTGAGACACTTCAGACATCTCATTTGGGGTCCCCTAGCCCTGTTTCCTAGAACCCGACGCCATGAGCAGGGAGCACCCAGTCAGCCAGATGCCTCCAGACCTTATCAGTCCTTGGATCAGAGACCAGCCAGGCCTGCATTCCATTGCCTGCAGCAGCACAGTCATATCAGTTATAAAAACATTCAAATACTTCACTTCTAGCTGGTAAAGAATCTCTTCCCCACATCCCACAAACGCCCCTACCCCACCCTAGTCTGTTCCCTAGGGCTCCTTGGACTTTCCCACATTACAACAATTAAAGGAGGGCCCACCAGCCACTCCTCGGAAGGAAGGTTGGGCAATCTACTTCCGTAGTGATACTGCCTCGGAAACCCAACGAGGGGTCGCTATGAGTCGGGGACGACTTGATGGCACATAACAACAACTAGGACTCTACTCCAGTCACATATGGCTGGGTGTGCAGGTGTCTGGGAGAGCTCTGTTGGCGTAGTGCCTAGAGCACCTGACTGCTAACCAGAAGGCTGGCAGTTCAAACCCACCAGCCACTCCTCAGGAGGAAGATGGGGCAATCTACTTCCACAGAGATACCGCCTTGGATTGAATATCTTCTGGGGACGTCCCAGACCTGGCTGGAGTCGGGAGAATCAGATCAGGAGGCTGACACTGATGGGTTGAGGAAGAATTTTCAGAAAGGTGAGCCCAGAACAGAAGACTTAAAACAATACTAAGAGTAACAATAATGACATTGATTAACATTTACTGAGCACATACTAACCAGAAGGCTGGGGTTCAAACCCACCAGCCACTCCTCAGAAGGAAAACTGGGCAACCTACTTCTGTAGAGACACTGCCTCAGAAACCCAAGGAGAGGTCGCTATGAGTCAGAATTGACTTGATGGTAGTGAGTTTGGTTTTTATGGAGCACATACAGGATTCCAGGGATTGTTCTAATATTAACTAATATGCGAGTTACCTCACTAAGTCCTCACAATAACCTAGACCATCACCATCATAGCAGCTTGGTCTCCTGGCTCCTGTTCCTGCCCCCGGAGTCTGAAATATCAGAGAATATTCACAGAGGAGCCTGTGAACACCCAAGTCCAGAGCCCTCCACTAGTCTCTGCTCTCCCCTTTGCTCACTCCACCATGCTGAGGGCTGTGGTGGGCCCAGTAGGGCCTACAAGGCCTGTTTGCTCTGTGCTCAACCTAGACTTAGCAGGAGGAATGTGGATTTTTTAGTGGCAGGACTTGGCCAGGCTGGGGCAATGGCAGCAGCCATTAGTATCCAGTGGTGCCTCGGCCTGAGTTCTGACCTGCCTCTAGACTACAAACCACACCCCCACCAGCCAACCAGCCTCAGCCTCAGTCCCATGACCAGCATCCAGCTTCCCCTTTTCTCTCCTGAGCCTTGGCCCAGAGAACTGTGGGATGTGGCAAATGGATGGGGGAGGGGGACTTCCTGCAGCTGGCCCATCCCCCCAGCACCCTAACCTCAGGTTCCTCCTTCCCCAGTTTCAGCTCAGGCTCCTGATGGGGCTACATGTCCCTGTTTCCTCCTGGGTCGCCTTCTTCAGTCCTGACTTCCAGCCACTTCTTCATTCAGTGGCACAGCCCAGCTGGGCCCAGGTCACCACACTGAGCCCCCACTCACCTTCCCCCAAGCTCTTGTCCCTGTGCTGGGTCTGTCTGTGTCACCATCTATTCCTGGCCGCTGTTTCCTTCTCCCCCATCTTTCTCCGTTTTTCTGTTTTGTTTTCCGTCTCTGTTGAAAAGTCAAAAAACTGTCTCTGGGGATTGGGTTTCATTCCTACCTTTATTTGCTATGTGACCTTGGGCAAGTGTCTCTACATGAATGATAAGTACCTACCTCAAGGGTGTTGTGGGCATTGAATAGGTTAGCACTTAGGTCCAGGTCCTAAATCAATCAGGCCCACATCCTGATAGCCTTTTTTTTTTAAATACTAAATTTTATTTATTTTGTTGTTGGTGTTGAGAATATACATTGATAGCTCTATTTTAATATCCTAGGAACATCACAAGGTTCTGATTATCAAATAATAATTATTACAGCAAACACTTATGAAAGAAAAGCTGACAAGTGTTAGCTCCTGTTCTAGGAATATTAATTCATTTAATCCTCACAACAATCCTATGAAGCAGATACTATTTTATTCCCCGTTTTACAGATGAGGAAACTGAGACCCAAAGAGACTGAGTGGCTTGCTCACCCAGCCAGGAAGAGGCGGGGCCGGCCTCAGCCAGCCACTGACCCTCATGTTACCATGAAAGCTGACCCCTGATCAGGGAGGGAGGTCACGAGCTGGCCATACACGTGCCCTGTACCCTGTCTATCCTTTGGGAGGTGAGCATGGCCCCTTCAGTGTCTGGACCCAATTCCTCTCTCTGGCCCTCCTCCCATATTGTCCCCTCCTTCCTCCTGCCACCACCCACCTCAGACTTCCTCCTTCACTTGGTCGGAAGCTAACCCACATCCCACTGGCCTTAGACTGTGGTGTCCAGCAGCGTCACCTGCGTCATGGGGGGTACCAGACCCTCCAGTACACTCCTGCTTCTGCCTCTCCTTCTGACTGTGGGTGGTGAGTTGGGGACTTCTGAATCTCCCTCCTGGGTCTCAGGCTCAGCTGGGGGCAGGACAGGGAGCAGGGTAGAAAGAGGAAACCGAAGGGGAGGATTGGGACAGGAGCCGAACCCCAGTCCCTCAAAGCCTATGAATTTCTTCCAGAGACTGAGACCTCAAGACTTAGCCTTGGGTGGAAGCCGTGGCAGGGGACAGCTAAGGGTGTTGCAACAGGATAAGTCACAGCAGATGGAATACAGTCCAACGGTCTTTACGTAGCCCACCAGGTCCCACCAGAAGCTGCTCTCCACCCTCGCTTTCTGGGTGTCAGGAGCTGCTCTCTCCAGCTTTTGCCACCCCCATCACAATCCCATACCTTCCTCTCCCCTTCAGGTCTCAACCCTGTCCAGGCCCAGAGTGGTAAGAGTCCAGACCCTCCAATCCTCCTCCCCACCGCCTAAAGACCTCCCCCGTCGCCGTCCCTTCCTCAATCTCTTCACTTTCCTCTGCTGACTACCCAGCCTCTGCCCGAATTCCGAGCCCCCCACTAACCTCCCCTGACCCCTGTGCCACAGCCTCAGAATGCAAGTGCCCTGCAATTGGCCCTGGTGTGCTGGCTGGGATCGTGCTGGGGGACCTGGTGCTGACGCTTCTCATTGCCCTGGCTGTGTACTCTCTGGGCCGGCTGGTCTCTCAGAAACGAGGGGCTGTGGAAAGTGAGTGGGGCTGGTGGGACATGCCCTGGGAGACTGTGAGGACATGTCTGGTGGGGCTGTGTAAGTTCCCAGGTCACAACCAACCAGAGGGCCGGTGCTGGAGGGGCTGACTTTGAAGCAACAAAACGACCCCACTTCAGCACTCTGCCCACTTCATCCTCATCCACCCTTTCTCCAAGCAGTGATGGGGAAACAGCGCACCGCTGAGACCGAATCGCCTTACCAGGTAAGGAAACATGCTCCTTTCCTCAAGTCTCACTCCTGCCCTGGGGTACGTGCCCTCAAAGCCCTCCTCCATCCCTCTGGGACTCAGAATTCAAAACTACCCCCCCAGCACCTCTGCAAACACTTGATGGCAAATAAAAACATGAGGCCTGTGTCCAAAACCTGTTTTCAATGGTTAACAACGACCTCACGCTCAGCTTAAAATGTACGGAGAGGACATAGGGGGTGAATTGGCCTCTGCAAAGTTCAGTTCAGCCTTACTTGGAAGATAGAATCTGAATTATTCTGGAAAAAAGGGATTTCCAGATGGTCATGGCACAGGTAGTGGGGGGGGGGGCGAGACTAGGACAGGGTGATTTTGGAGAGAAGCCCTCCTAAGAGCAGAGGCTCTAACTCAGATCAGGGTCCTTAAACTTTCTAGGGTATCCTGTATTACTTGGAGAAGTTGACAAAAACTGGAGATTGCTCAGGAAAACCAAGCACAAAATCCAAAATCATGTATCTAATCAAGGGATGGTTCAAATATCCTTGAAACCCTTAAGAACTCTCTGGGTCAACACTTGTTAACACTTTGGCTGCGCATGTCTGCGTGTGTGTGTGACTGGTTCCTCTGAGAAGCTGATGCAAGTCAAATAGAACTCCCCCCAGAAAAACACACACCCAAACCCATCATTTCCATTCCATTTCAGGGGCTCTGAGACCTGCCCCATGGAGCCACAGACCCTAAGTTGTGCATCCTGCTCTGTGAAGTCTGTGTTGCTAGTCTGCTGCTAGCTTGCTTGTTTTGCCTTACCTGTAGATAAGCAATCCCTTCATATAAAGTGAGAATCTCAAGTGTGGCTCTATGGCCCAAAACACCAAGGGGCTTTGCAATCACAGTGAAATTTTAGCACAAAGCATTACCTTTATTCATTCATTATTCATTACTTTAGTTTGTTCAACACCTACTATGTGCTAGACACTGATAGAAGAAAGACTTGAAGAAAATAAACAAGATAATTTGGGGAGGCACCATGAAGGAAATAAAGCAGGCTGCTGTGACAGTAACTGGGGTGTTGAGGGTGGAAACCATAGGTGGAGAATCAGAGGGCTGCCTGAAGAGGTGATATTGAGCTGAGACTTGACAGGGAGGAAGGAGCCTTCCATGGGAAGCTCTAGGGTAACGGTGTTCTAGACAGACAGAAGAGCATGTGCTGGGACATCATGATGAAGCTGAAGGGAAGGGGTCTCACTGAATGTACTTGTATACAACCCAGATCTCTCCCATGGCTTTCAAGGTTAAAGAAGCTGCCAGGGGCCTCACAGGCCACTGGGAGAGGCTGGAATTTGTTCTAAGTTTACTTGGTGGATCCCTTCCACTGATGGCATCCAATCTGACACTAACTGCTCTCATGCCTTTAGGAGCTCCAGGGTCAGAAGACAGATGTCTACAGTGATCTCAAAACACAGCGGCAGTATTAGAAATGGCCCAAACCATGGCAGCCAACACCTTGGTGCCTGGATCCAGCCATTCCTGACATCTACCCAGCACCTGATTCCTATCCCCACCAAGACACAGATCCACAGAATATCCTCTTGGACATATCACACCTCTCCCCACCACCATTCCCCAAATAAACATGGAGCACAAAAATACTGCAGATCCTTGGGCTGAGGTAATGGGGATCTGTGGGGCTTGAAAGGGGGTTTTGGACCCAGAGGGAGGGAGGCTTTAGGGCCCTTGAAGTTCTTTGAGGAAGAATTAGAACTAGACATATTCCAATTGCTTTATTCCAAAATTGGAGGTGTGTGTGTTCCTGTACCACCACACACAATTCAGGATCAGAGGGTCAGATGTCCATCAAAGTTCTCAGTTACAGGGGTCAGCCCCTTCTAGGCATGTTGACGTAGACTTTGTTATCTTCTGTGGGTGGAGGAGAGAAAGCGTGAAGCCTGACCCCTCATCCCCACCCCACATCTCTACCTCCCTGGGGACTCCCTGACGCAGGGGTTTCCTCAGGAGTTTCCCCCACCACCTCCCCCAGGGTTTCCCCAGCACCTCCTCCAGGGCTTCCCTGAGGCTCCCCTCCCTGGGGCCCCCTTCCCCAGGGAAGCCCGCCCCAAGAACCCCAGTCATCTCGGCACTCACCCTGCATGGGTTTGTGGGATGGGCTTGCACACATGAACACCACCCCCACGATTAGAAGTGACATGGCTGCATCAGCGGCCACAAGGCCCACTAGGAGTGGCAGGGTAAGAGGACCACATCTGGAGCAGGGACCTGGAGGGTAGGCCAGAAACAAGAAGGCAGCTGAGGGAGGTTCCAGACCCCTGGGGCTGTGCTTCGGACTTGGATTGGGGAGGGGGAAGTCCTAGAGATAGGCTGGGGGAGGATCTGTTTTCCTGGGGTTGTACCCTGGGGAGGAAGGGAAGATGGGGATCTAGAGAGAGGCTAGGGGTGTCCTGGGACACCTAGGACTGTGCTCCAGGCTTAAGAGCTACTCTCAGAGGAGGCTGAGGGGTCACAGATTTCATGGGGCTACAGTTTAGTGATGAGGGCGACGAGATGGAGACCCGGAGAGAGCTACAGATCCTCTGGGGCTCTGGTTTGGAGATGGGCGATGAGACAGTGACCTGGAGGCCAGTTTAGAGTCCAGGAGGCTCAGGCCACACTTAAAGGAAGGAGGCGGTGACTGAAATGCCAGGGCAGAGAAGGGAGTGTTTATCTCTCACCTGGGGTTGTCTGAGCTGCAGCCACTGTGGAAAGAGAGGAAGGTGGGTTAGAGGGAAAGAGATGATTCCCAAAATAGGGTACAGGGAAAGGAACTTCCACTCTGGGGAGATCAAATGGGAAAAGGGGGGCAAATAAGAAGGGGAGAATCCCAGAGAGAGATTGTTGTTGTTATGTCGGAGCCGCGTCTTAGCGACCCCTCCCTGGGTTTCCGAGGCAGTATCACTACGGAAGTAGATTGCCCCATCTTCCTTCTGAGGAGTGGCTGGTGGGTTTGAACCGCCAGCCTTCTGGTTAGCACTCAAGTGCCTTAGGCACTATGCTACCAGAGCTTCCCCAGAGAGAGAGGAGTTTCAAATAAAGGCAGAGATCCAACTATGAAAAGGGGAGATTAGCAAACAGCTTTCCCAGAACTTGATATGCTCCTCAACAAAGGACCCAGACATTGAAGTGGAATGAATCTTCAGAAAGGGAAGGGCCCACCCTCAGTACTCCTCCCTTCAGATGTCACCCAAGCCCCTCCTCTCACAATTATTCTGCCTGTCACCCCCATGACCTCTGGCTTCACCTGGGAGCAAAAGCAGGAGCAGGATGTGGCCTGGAGGAGCCATGGTTAGCTGGAGGCTGGAGAGGGCTGGCAGAGGGCTGTGGTCCACAGAAGTTCTGAGGAACAGTGGGGGAACTGAGCGGAAGCTGTAGCAGATATCACCCCGCTGGCAGCAAGGCTACCTGCTTCCTGTGTGTGTGGTGTGTGGTGGAGGTGAAAGTGGGGGTGGGGGTCCTCTGTGACTGCCTTTGGGGAGCAATCTGTAGGGAGGGTCAGGGAGACCAAGGAAGCTGCTATGATGGTCCAGCTGGAGGGTGGCAGGTGTGCCAGGACGGAGGAATTGGAAGGAGTCTGGAAATACTTGGAACTTGCTGATAAAATGGGTGTGGATGGGTAGGAAAGAGAGGGACCCAAGATGACTAAGGTTTCTGACTTGAGCTCCTGAAGAGATGGAACATCCACTGACAGAGAGGGAAAGGGTAGTGGGTCTGGGGAAAATTTTTGAAGTTTGGGCACACTGAGTTGGAAATGCCTTGAGTTCTCTGTGGAGATGTGGAGTGACCACAGAAGCATTTACCAGTTCGGGGATAAAGCTGGGCCGGGAGTGTAAACTCAGGGGTTGATGGCTTATGGACGGTATTTAAAGCCACAAGAAGGGATGAGATCACCAAGGAAGTGAGTACAGACTCCCTCCTTTCAGGAAAATGAGAGGAGGAGCAAAAAGGGCATGTGGATGGCTGGGGAGTCATCTGACCTCTAAATTCACAAGGGGGAGAGAGAATCGCCATCAACATCAACAGCCCAAAGCTGATTCCTGGGAGGTGGAGGTCAGACATGCTTCCACCCTCCAACCTTCTTACCAATTCTGAACTGAAACCAACTGCCCCTCCTATGGCACTCTCTCCTTCTCTGCAGAGTTCAGTACTCATTGTGATGGCCACACACAACTTACAGACAATACTAACGATCATGGGGCTTATTAAGGGACTAACAGGTTACAATTCAGGATCAGAAATGACTCCGGATATAATTCAATTAAGACAGCTTCTTCTCAGCTGTACCACAGGCACATTTCTCTCTGGCCCTAGCCCCTTTGTAACACTGCTCAGGCAAGTGTTACAAAGCTCTTTTAGCTCTTCCAGTAAATGCCTAAAAATACCCCACTCCACCAGTAAGCCCTGGCCGGAAAGCGCTCAGCTTTCTAGCTCGGAGGGTCTGGAAGCCACTGCATTGTCTGCCACCAGGTCTCTCTGCTGCTGCTTCCCACCATCTCTCAGTCTCTCACCATCTCAGCAGTACTACGGCTCTCTTTCTGTTTCCAGGGTCGAGGAGGTTCAGTACAGGGATCTTGGGTCAAAGGATGCACTCCACCCCTGGCTCTTCTTTCCTGAAGGTAGTGAGCTTCCCCTTTCTGCCTCTGGGATGGCTCATTCTAAGCCTGTTGTTGTTGTTGTTATGTGCCGTCGAGTCAAACCTGACTCATAGCGACCCCTCCTTGGGTTTCCGAGGCAGTATCACTACGGAAGTAGGATTGC